CATTTAGGGCTCCATGAGATACAGCACATGCTAAAATTATTTGTGAGTACAGACCCTTCAGGGCTGAGGTTTGAAACATCACTGAGAAGAAAAGAGGCACCAAAAGAATTCTGCTCATTCTAGTGAGCTGGGAATTTAGTCTCTAGCTAGTGAACTGGGAATTTAATTGTCATGGCCCTACAGAGATTGGAGAGAATTCCAGCACAGGATCCTCTGGTGATATCAGGGCAAGGTAGTTGGATGGAAAACATCCAGGGCTGCTGGACAGACCCACTTCTGAAATGGACAGCTGTGTCTGGACAGTCTTCTCTAACTTTTTGCTCTCCAAGATAAAGAGAGTGTCCAGATGAGGCAGTAGATTTCTAATCTGTAACCCATATTATCTGTTTTTGGGGCACAGTTACCTTTTCTCAGGAATGAAAGCCCACAGCTGATGAAAGCTGAACTTTTTATCTCCCTCACTGCTGCAGCCTTATCATCCACAGGACTTTAATCCCACACAACACTTAAGAAATATAATCATTAAAGATCTGAGTACACGTTTTGAGATAAGATTGGTTCATGATATTACTACTGATTGCATAATTATGGAAATGAGAAAATAATCCCCTTGGGCTTTGTTGTAATGACTTCTGAGCATCTTGCATCATCATAGGCAGACAGAAGACTTCAGGATGCCACGCTTTATTAAAAGGAATGTGGAAAATCTTGTTTTGGTTGGTGTCAATGTCTCTGGTAAGGGAGGACACCATGCATCTTCCACAATGAAATTGGATTGGGTAGAAACCCATGTGATCTTTTTGAAAATAAATAGTTAATCTTTACTTGATCTCCTGTACTCATGTCTTTTGATGCACTGGTAAACTGCATTCCTGACAGTATCCTGCTGAACTGTGGCCTTGAGAGACCTTGACTGCCTGGTCTATACCTCTGTTCTGAATCAAAAGACAACATGGGACCATTGCAGACCTGGCTGCATAGTGCTGATAATCTCATTGGACATATTACTTCATGGAATTGTTACTATTTTACTGATGTGAGAAGAGGTGCTGCAGGAGTGAGCTGGATGAATGTAGCCTGGTCAGCAGCTGGACTCCCATCAAGGAGAAATTATTAGGACAAACATAAGTGCACTAATGTTAGTAAAAATGGAGATAAAAACACACACACGGATTTCCCTTGCAATATTTTCTGTAATTTTGGTTTGTGTTAGAGCCACCACTAAAGAGGAACGCTTGATATCACACTCAGTTTTACAAGGGGTAATAAGGAGGAACCTGGGGACTGCTGACCAGTCAGCCTCACCTTAGTGCCCAGTAAGATCATAGAATAGATCCTCCTAGAAATTATGTTGAATCACATGGAAGACAAGGAGGTGATTAGAGAGAGCGAACATGGCCTTAGCAAGGGCAAGTCATGCCTGACTAACCTAGTGGTCTTCTACAACAGAGTGACAACTGATGCCATTTACCCAGACTCCTCTAAGGCCTCTGGTAGACTCCTCCATGACAATCTTTCCTCAGATTTGGAGAGGTATGGATGGAATATTACATAGATAAGTAACTGTTTGGCTGGTTGCATCCAAAGAGTTTCAGTTAACAGATCAATGTCAGAATGGAAACCAGTAATGAGTGATGTCCCTTAAGGGCCTGTACTGGGACAAACACTAATATCTTCATTAAGTGCCCCAGACAGTGGGATCGAGTGCACCCTCAGCAGGTTTGCAGATGACCGCAGGCTGAGTGGTGCAGCTGATGGGCTTGAGGGAAGGGATGCCATCTGGAGGGAAGGGCTTGAGGAGTGAGCCTATTGGGAACTTCATAGAGTTCAACAAAGGCAAGTGTAAATGTGTTAATATGCAGTTTGCTCACTATACAAAACCATCTTTGCTCAGAAGAGGGATCAGGAAGGCCAGGTGACCACATCAGTGGTACTTATGTATACTTTTACCCTTGGGCAATCAGAAAGATTTTGCTAGATGGCAACTTTCATCTTAGCTGTGGGTGTGGAGATTTGTTAAAGTACTGCTAATGTACGTTGCTTTTATTTTTTTACCATTAGTCTCATCGTATGCTGTGAAATGGGTGTCTCCCACCAGTCTTCTTCCTTCCTCACTGCAATTTGTTCAGGCCACACCCTTATCTCTCCATTTTAGCAACAGGGATTGTTGTGGTCGTGCTGTCTGAACGTGTTCTGCCACACTGCAGTGTCCACAATGCCAGCTGTAAAGCAGATGTACGGCCAGCACTGCTGGATTTTAAAACCTTTAAAGGCTCGGGCTCTGGCCTCACTGCTGGGGAAACCTTGGCTTGTGCTTAAAAAAACCAGACACGTGCACAAACACATACACACACACTGAGACATATTCTATTTTTCTGAAGGGACCATTGTGTGCCTCTTTATCTTTTCCTCCCACCCCTTCATCCCTTCTGACACTTTCTGTAGCTGAGACCACTAGTAATCTATTTAACTGGATTTTCCAGGCACTTCAGAGTAGTAGGTGTTACTATATGTATAGTGCCTGATCACTACTGTTGAGGCTCAATAATAAGTAAAATCTGTTGCATTCGTTGGTCCACCAAGCAGTGATCAGACATACCCCTCACACAAATATCTGTAGTGTACCAGAAGCAAGTGCCACCTTGTGTTGGCCACAGCAGTCCTTGAGCCCTTCTGCTGAAAGCTGCACTGCTCATCTTCTGAAACTCTGCAGAATCTCCAGGGAGATTTGTTTTTACCCGTGGCTCATGAGACCATGCTTACCTTTGGTGTCCAGTTGTCCATTTAGCTCTGACTGGCCAGAGTCAGTGAGGTTTTATGAAGGACCACTGCAGAAGCTCATGACTCTGACTGAAAACCAGGAGCAACTCAATGCTCTGACAGTGATTATTTACCATTTTCCCATGTTACATGCTGTATTTGGTCATGTTCAGTAACTGTAGTAATCAGACAAGATGGAACGGCAGCTTGTCAGCCGATTTAATTAAAACCACATTTCTTTTTTTTTTTTTTTATTGCCTCTCACACATCATTAATATTCTGTCTAAGACCCGCCTGCAAATCTAAAGATTGGAATCAGTCTCATTGTGCTCTTTCCGAGCTTGAATTCCCAGACACACAAACCTGGGAAAGAGTTATAAAGGGACAGGTAATAGTTAGAAACTAATTTGATTACATTGAAATGGACCACTCATTTGTCCAAATAAATGCTTATTAAGGGACCAGTCTTTCAGGTTGCTTTTAAATGCAGTGCAGGCTTTGCTTTCATGGATATGACTGGGAATAGAATATATTTAGGATTTCCCAGGAATCAGGTCTTTGCTCTGCAGACTTCTGCTCATTCAAATTGTTGGTTATGCAAATATATTAAAAAGACTCGAGTAAATAACACTGCACCCTTGTTAGTAAGCTTTATTGTTTAGATATTTAGCAACAGTGTTTTATTGTCCTTTTTCTGAAGTGTCAGGTAAGATCCATTTCACGGTGAGAGTGTTAAGGAAACTTCCCAGTCTGACCATTCCCAGACTCTCTGGCAGTCACACTCCCAAGGCGGGGGATTTTCACTGCTGGGACCGAAGTCCCTTCACCAAGGGCGGCTCCAGTGACCGATGGGTCCCTGCGTGGCTCCCACACACCCCACTCACACAGTCAGACCCGGTTTCCTCACCGGTTCTACCCCGGGGTTTCCCACAGCAGATGTCTGGTTCCATAAAGCCATTTATTCACGGCACATTAACACAGAAACAGCCCGAGCTGGTGCCTCCGAGGAGGACCCACAACAAAAGAACCCCTGGGCTTTTACACCCTCACAGTCTACCCGTACTCAGGTCTCGCTTTTCCTCCCGAGTCTCTGGCTCCTGCCCCCATCTCCGTGTCCATCCCTCTGGCTGGCGTCACACATCTTGTTATCCCAAAGGCTGGCAGTTCGCGGCCTCCCACCCAGAGCTGGAGCTGCATCTCAACCTGCAGTTTGCGAGCCGAGCTGCCTGGACCACGTATTCTTTAACAACAGTACATCAGCCACCATATGCACTCGATTTACAACCAGATTACAAGGCAAAAAAATAAATCTCTCATTTAAAATTATATACAGCAGTTTATTTAAACAGTGATTAACTTTCATCAACAGGCTGTGCATTTCTGTTTTCTTTAAGAAACCCTGCCACTCAATCACAGCTGCAGCCCTCCTGCAGTACCCTGCTACTCAGTGGCTTGAACCCAGCTCTACAGATAGTTCACAGCCAATTACCATACAGGTTTCTTATGTTAAAATTAAGGCAACTGAAGTCAACAACCTCTGGTGAATAAAGGTAAAAGCTTGAGAACATTTTGCATAACAGTCATCAGCATAGCTGATAGCTATTACAGAGTTCTTGTGCAGTAAGCCTATGCAGATACTATCTCTCTTGCCTGTCTGTTTCAACACGCAACTCATCTCATTTGCAATCCTTTGCTTTAATTAGCTGAAGTCTGCTTCAGTCTTTCATATGTCAACCAGCCTGTGTACACTTCCATATTTTTAATCAGTAGCCTGTTGTCTTTACTTTGTCATTCACACTAGCATATAAATCTGCCCTTCTTATGATCCTCACTGCTTGGTAGAAGTCAAAACATGCTGTTTAATTTTCCCGTTCACTGATTTCCATTTGTTTCATGTTCAAATGCTGGCTCTTTTCCCCCTTTCAGGCATGCTGTGAGCATTAAACTTAGTGATTAAATGCCAAAAGAACAGTTCTTTTCCCCTTCCATGCCCACAAATGGGTCATCCTAACCCTCTCTGGGATGCCTACCTCGACAGCAGTGCCCCGTGCTTGTGTGCTCAGCCTATCTGGACGGGACTGCCTGGGCTGGCAGAGGTTAGCTAACGATGGCTAATAAAACAGGTGCAAAACTTCATGCTCTCCTAAGGTTGTGACTGGCTTCTTGCTGTTTCTTTGCTTTTTTTTTTTTTTTTGCTTTTTTTGGTTTGGATTTTTGTGTTTTGTTTTTTAATTTAATCTACTACAGCAGAATATTTCATTTCACTGATGACATAGCCGAAGACACCAAGACTTAAAAATAACTGCATGTAAAAGCATGAGAGGGTGACATGTGGCTCTGCACCAGCTTTCAAATTTTCCGGTTTACTGGGGGGGAATCTGAGGTTGTCTGTAGATGTCTGACAGGTGGGGTTGCTGGCCCTGGCATCTGTGCCTGTGGCTGATCCCCCAGCTGAGCCTGGAGTGTGTTCAGGATGTCATCTAGCTTCTGGTCCATCTGCATGACCTGTTAAGGAATCAGAAAGCAGACGAGCTATCAAATGGTTGCACATGCTTCTGGTGAGAGACATTCATAGGCCAAAAGCTCTGGATGGATAAAGCCTGGCAGGGAGCATGGGCATTTGAGTACCAGCAGCTCCTCTGAGTTTAGTTTAGCTTCCTGCTCTAAACCAAATGACACTATGAAGTCACAGGGAAAGGTGTAAAGCCATGTGAAGTGGCAGCAGAAAGACAGGGCGTTGCTGGCTCAAGGACTGGACCGCTTGAATCAACCATTTTGTCTCAGCCTTTTCCCAGGGTTGTTGATGATGCATCGTGCAAATATCTGCCCTGAAACTCTCTTTCAAGCTTCAGTTTACTGTGAATGTTTTTTGCCAGTACCTCTCTCAGTCTTCACCACCCTTAGTTGTAGGACATCATGCTTTCCATTACTGTCTTGGGAAATGAAACAGCTCCCCTCCCTTCACACCATAAATAGGTGCCTCTGTGATACATGTTACAGTCAGAGATCCTACCAGATATGGTGTTTGTTCCCATGCATTTTGAGGAGGATAGACTACTAAAAACCACATAATAATACCAATGACTTTATTAAAAAAGAAAAAAAAAGGAACAACCATTCTATAGGAAGCTTGAGGTGCTAATCCCTCCTCTCATTTCTTTGCCTTCCAGCTGAAATTTCTCAGGCATAGTCCCTAGGTAGAGGAGTCTTTCCTAGCTGTTATTATTATTAAGCAGGGAAAGGCAAGTCTGGATTTTTAAAGGGACACTGCTCTTATACTTCCTACTGCTTTTTTAAAGTTCTGACCTTTTCTAGGAGCACACAGCAGGCGTTATCCTGTTTTGCTGGTGGGGCTGGTAGGGCTTGCCTTCACTGCAAATGGGATCCCACTTGCCTTAGCATCACCCAGTGGGACAGGCTGAGGGCTGCTGGCTGCTTTACTTTGCTCCAAAGACAAAACTGTGGCCAGCATCATATAATCAACTGGGATCGCTTCTAATGATGCTTGAATACAGTGCAGCTTTGTGTTATAGATGAGCCCTAGAAAAATGAGCATTTTGAAGAACATTGAATGGTTCACTTTACAGTTATCTGCCATGAAACTATGAGCCTCTGCAAACTGTGATCTGTCCCAGTGGGTCTAATAAACTTTGATAGCAAACCTTTTAGAGCGATATCAGATCTAAACTGAGCTTTCATTAAAAAGCGAGAGAGAGAGAATGAGAGAGAGAAGGATTCCAGCCTTTTTCCATTCAAAGATAACTTTGGAAATAGCCATTGGCAGCAGGAACTGAAAGCTTAGCAGGCTGAGATTGCTTCAAAAACCAAGGCAAAGAAAATCACCTTATCCGCTTTTGCCTCCTCTGTCTTTTCTCACTCCAAGTGTCAGCTCCCCTGAGGGCCTCTCAAACCTCAGGGTACCAGGAACTTACTCAAGTTCTATCTTTTTGGCAACCGCTATCCTCTCCTATATATAACCTGCTGGGGGAAGGAGGACTGGAGTGTGCCTCCTACATCACAGAGGGAGAGATGTGCTGGTCTCTTTTCCATTTTTACTTTTATGACTGCTGTCTTCTAGTAGAAAAGCCCCATTCCCTGCCTCTGATTTGGTGTGGGTGTGGTGTGAGGCAGTGCTTTCAAGCAGCAAGAGGGGAGTATTTAGGACATGGGTTAGACAGCAAGACCTTTCCTACGGTTTCTGCCCCAGTGTTTTCAGGTGTGTGGCTGGCACTGACTGAGCAGTCGATCACCCCCAGAAGCACTGACAGTGCTCTCGTCTCGGGCTACGTATTCATACAACAGCTACATATTCTGCTCAGCATTAACTTGGTTGGAAGTCTGGAAGTCACTAGTGGTTTAAGAGTTAAGCAGCACGGAATTAATTTAAAAACCACAGCCTTTATTTTCCCCTCCATTCTTGAAAAGCCTGTTTGGCTGATGCTGGTAATGACTCAACAGAATCTTTCTTAAGCAGAAATGTTGCTGCAGAGCAGAAACTAAAGTAGAACTAATATTTTGCAATAGGGTAAAAAGAGGTGTAGGCAGGGAAATGGGATCAGGTAGACAAAAGATCTTTGGTGCTTTCTTTTGTGATGCTTTGTTGATTTTGATCTGCAGGCTTGATCTTAGATAAGCTATGCCTGCATATTCCATATCATTTAAACTTTCTGTATATCTCTGTATTTTGCCAAGTCAGTGAAAGAATGTGATGGGGAATAATTTTATGCACTTTTCTTTCCAGGAGAAGAGGAGGGTGGAGAATGTAAATATTCGTTTGTAGGGATGGAAAATGAGAAATTCATACATAAGGGAGTAGATTACACTACACTTCTGTCACACCTTCCACATGAGGATAGGCAAATATTTCCTGTACGTCAACAAATAAAGCTTCTGAGTTCTTCTCTGTCAACCATACCCATGTGAGGATTTTAATGATAATTTTTGAGATTAGAAGCACGACTCTGCAAAATTAAGGGAGACATAAGAAAATGTGATCAGTGGCAGATCTCTTCTAATTGGCTTTGTATTTTATACACAGGCTCAAGCCACCACTTTCTGGCTTCAGATATTCTAAAGTATACCTTACTTGCAAACATGCAACTAGACTAGTAAAACTTTAGTCAGAAAGACAAATTCTTAAGCACCTTGTTAAACGAGAGAGTATTAAAAAAGGGTCAAATTTGGAGGCTGCTTAACTGTGATTAGGACATGACTTGCAGGGGGTTAGAATCACTTTCACATGGGTGAAGTTTTTTTCATAGGAGGGTCCTGGTTTCTCCAAAACCCATTTATCAGCTATTACTTTCCTTAAGCCCAAACAGAAGGAGTTGCCTGTTTGGAGTAACACAACCAGGAAAGTGTGCTGACAAAGGGTTAATTTGAGCAACATGTTTTTAAGATGAGTAAAGTGAGAAGCCATCCAGAGATTGCTGCAGAGTTTCCAGAGAGATGTGATATGGCCCTAGAAGGCTCAGTGGAGACAGGTGAGTTTGGCAGCTGTCCATGGGCAAACGGTAACAAAACTTCTGTTCTCCCACACCACAATAGTGCTCTGGAGATGATCTATAAAATTGTTAAAATGCTTTTATATCCTTTCAACTGCTCTGTAGAAAGGAGACTTGCAAAAGCAGTTTAAAGTATTACACTGCTGTTATTGGGACTGTGAGGTGAGCTGAAGGAGTGTTGAAATGTGTATTTGTTCTGACATCGCCTCACCACCCTGGCACACCCTCCGTCCCTCTGGGAAAGTGTGCTGCACTCCATGGTGACATGCAGGACTGTTAGACAAAGAGAATGTCCTGCAACCAACTCTAGCGAGTCACAGTAAGCCATGAAGTCACTCAACCCATGAGACACGAGGTGTCCCTGCCCTTCACCTTGAGGACCAGGTTGGCTTTCAACACCTATGTGCTGTTTGAGGATCCTTTAGAGCCTCTATTTGTGAAAGCAGGTGTTCCTTAAATACTTCTTTTTACCTTGGTTTTCTCCTGCTGCAGAAATGCCTTGTGTAGAAGGATCCTAGGAATGGCAGCAGTATGGAGGAGGAGGGTTGGGTCATGCTGGGGATTTGCCACATGCTGGACAGATTCCTAACTTCCCTGAGAGCTTTTTTTTCTGACATGTTTTGCACACAGAGACCATAAACAAAATGCATGTGTGGAAAACTCGGTTGGAGCAGTCACGTGGTCTTTCCCAAATCCTCTCACTTTAGACCAGAAAAATCCCTCCCCCCAGGTTTTGTCTATCTTTTTATTATGATTTCTGGAGGCTGGGAAAGCCAGTATCAATTATGTGCACAACACACTGACATGAACTATTTCCAGAGGAGTATCAGAAGGGGAAGATGGTCTGCTGGAGCACTGGAGTAAATCTGTAAACCCACAAACATGCTCAAATGTTGCTAAGACAGTGAAGCTTTGTATCAAAAGCTATACCCCATAAATCAAATAAAGTTGCTGTCACCTCCTTAAGGCTCTGCTCTCTCGCTCCCTGGAGCAGTCCTGCATGGGCTGATCAACATGGCTGAGCTGTACAGCCTTCGTGCAGTTGTCTGCTACATGTCTGGGCTGCTGGTACCAGGGATGCAGCACGAAATGGAGGAGGGAGAGAAGACATCTCAATTTGTGTTACTAATCAAAATGTCATGGAGCAACAACAGGTTCTGCTTTTGGTTAAGCTGGATTGACTTTAGCTTCCTGTTTGTCTCACTCAAGTGCAGAAAGCTATGAAGCTGTGCCCACAGGACAGCCCAAGGTGTCATAGCAGGAGCAGAGGATGGAAGAGACACTGCATGGTTGAGCCCCATCCCCTGCTATTGGAACCACTGTACAACGGGTGTTTTGGTTCTGGAAGCCCCACAAGACATCCAGGTTTCCTCTCCTTGACATGCAGCCCTCATCCCACACTAAACTGTGAACCTAAGCACGGACAACGAAGAACCATCAAAGCCCAGTGGAACACAGGAGGTGAAGAAGGACATTCCCAGGGTCTCTGCATGGTGTTGTGGTATTTTCCAGCTGACAACACAAAGTCAAACACATTTGGGGCCAGAGCTACTGTGGCCATGCAAACACAGTATCCCAGCCCAGGGTTTCCAAACCACCAGAGTGCTCAGCTCAGCCCCACTGAACACTCCTTCTGTAGCAGCGACCTAATGCTGAGCTCTGGGATTTGCCACCATGCAGACCATTTCTTCTGTTTCCAGCCTTTGCTGCAGCTCCTGACTCCCTAGGTAGCTCTAATGAAGCAGGATCCACTCACTACAGTTCTGACTTATAAACAATCGATTGCAGGGCTTTAACACCAACTGCTTGGAAAAGAATCATTTGATGGGGAAGATTTATTTTGTATGGACAGAAGAGTGTATATGAACCTTAGTCTGCCATGAGCTATTCTACCTGCATGTACTTGTTTCTGAATATTCCCAGCTTGTTATTTGTGATAGGTCACCTAAGGTCTAGTTTGTAGGAGAAAATGGTATTAATTTAGCAAAATCAGATGTGATT